TTCTACAGAACATTTCTACATTTTGACGTTTTTTTTTTATTAAACATTTTTGCTGACCTTCTGATGAAAATTTCTGTTGAACTGCTAAGCCTATCTAAATTGCCTTTTCTGTTCTGTCCTCCCCACCATTTCCCAAAAATAAAAACAAATTGAGCAACAGCAGTAAATATTCACAGATTCTTTTCATTTTATACAAAGGAAAACAAAATTGAACCCACAACCCACCCCTCCGGCTCATCATGGCTACCCATTAACTGTCGCTGGTTATAAAGATATTATAAAATTCAACAACAGGCACCAACCTTTAAGTGGGTAGTGTCTGTAACTCCATAAAGTATGCAATAAAGGGATGCCATTCATGAAAAAACTTATCTGTACAACCATTCATCATATATCTTATTTTCTCGAGTTTCAGAAAAAACATCATGTCTTTTATCCACTGGGAGATAGATGGGTATTTAGCAGACTTCCAATGTAACAGTAGGGAACGTCTTGCTGTGAAAGGGATGTGAAAGCAATAACATCATTTTGTATCAAGCTCAAAGGAATTGAAGCTTGAGGAATCCCAAAAATCGCAATCAATGGACAAAGCTTTAAATGCACCCTGAGAATAGTGAACATGATGGTAAAAAAGCCAGACCAAAAACCATGGAGTTCAGGGCAGAAGAAAAACATATGGCCAGATGACAGGGAGAGCCATGGCATTTATCACACTTGTCCTCTACATCCGGATACATCACAGACAATCTCGACTTGGACAAATGGACTCTATTTAAAACTTTGAACTGTAAAATCCAAGACGAGCACAAGAAGTGGTAGTCTGTACCCTCCCTATAGCATGTTCCCAACACTCCTCACTTATTTGTACTCCTAATTCCGTTTCCCACGCATTCCTAATTTTATTACTCGACCCACTACCTAGCGTCAAAATAAAATCATAAATCTTAGAAATCATTCCTCTCTGATTCGGGTTATTTGAAAACAAGCCTTCCCAAGCCTGTTCAGGAGGAGCAGAAGGGAAATCAGGAAAACATCTAGAAACAAAATTCCGTGTTTGAAAGTACCGAAAGAAATGCATCAAGGGGAGATCGTAAGTGGATGCCAAATTGGCAAAGCTATCAAACACACCATCAGAATACAAATTTCTAACTTGTTTAATACCCTTGTCATACCACACTGAAAATGAGGAGTCCATACACGATGGGGGAAATAGATGGTTGTTCACTAAAGGACACAAAGAGGATGCACCTACAAATTTAAAATGTCGTCTAAATTGATACCAAGTCCTAAGTGTGCTGAGGACAACAAGGTTATCAGTATATTGGGAAAGTTTTGTAGGTAAAGGGGAGTAAAGTAGAGCAGGTAAAGAGAATTCCCTACAAGAAGATAATTTCAATTTAGACCAAGAAGATCCAGGAGATTGAACCCAGTAACAAAGTTTATGGATGTGTGCAGCCCAATAATAGAATTGAAAATTGGGTAATGCAAGTCCTCCCCTAAGTTTACATTTCTGCAATAAAGATTTACTAAACCTTGGTGGCTTCCCTCCCCAAATAAATGTACTAATTATCTTATCCAATGAATCAAAGAATTATTTTGGGAGAGAAAGAGGCACTTGTTGGAACAAGAAAAGAAACTTCGGTAAAATATTAATTTTGACGGCATTGATCTTGCCAATTAGGGAAAGTGGTAAGTTACCCCAACTCTGAATGTTAGATTTAACCTTTGAGATAAGGGGAGTAAAGTTAGCTGATAGAAGATTAGATAGAGAACGTGTCACGTTGATACCTAGGTATTTAAAACCAGAATGACTAAATGAAAACGGTAGATCCGACTGTTGGAGAGACAGAGCTGGAAACAGTCGCTTTTATCTAAATCTAGTTTATAACCAGAGACAACACCAAAAGACTCCAGAACATCCAAGACAGAAGGCATAGAGGCGGTAGGATCAGTTACATACAATAACAAATCATCAGCATATTGCGACAATTTGTATTCTACACCATATCGAACTATTCCTTTAAACAAGGAGGAAGATTTTAGTGCAATAGAGAGCGGCTCGATGGCAACAGCAAAAAGCAGTGGGGATAAAGGACAACCTTGGCGACACCCTCGTCCGAGCGCAAAATAATCCGAATAAGTATCGTTAGTCTGAACTCTAGCATTAGGGGTTGAGTAAAGGAGGCTAATCCAAGAAATAAACTTGTCCCCAAATCCAAACTTCCTCAGGACTGCAAACAAATACTCCCATTCGACCCTGTCGAATGCTTTTTCAGCATCTAATGAAATCACAATCTCAGGGTGAACAGCTGAATGCTTTGAATAAATTATATTAAAGAGTGTACGGGTATTGAAAAACATTTGACGTCCCTTTATAAAACTGTTCTGATCTTCAGATATAATATAAGGGAGTACATTCTCTAAACGAGATGCCATTACTTTCGCCAACACCTTTACATCTGCATTCAGCAGTAATAGCGGTCTATAAGAACCACAGGAGGATGGATCCTTACCCTGCTTTAGGAGCAGAGCTATTATGGCTTGTGTCAGAGTTGGAGGCAAAGACCCACGTTCCAGAGATTCATTAAACATAGCCAAAAGCAATGGAGCTAATTTTCCAATAAACGTTTTTAAAAATTCGATTGGAAACCCATCTGGGCCAGGAGCTTTGTTAGATTGCATAGATTTAACTGAATTTAAAATTTCTTCAAGAGAAATTGGGGAATCCAATTGCATAGCAGTATTCGTATCTTGGACCCTGGAGGTGTGAGGCAAACATGCTAACCCCTAAGCCACTGTGCACCCCCCTGGCAAATTTCACATTTCCCAAATGTGATTGGATCCATTGATGTTCTTATTAACAATCACTCCTTCAGTGATTGAAGGAGTCTCTGTTAATAGGAAGTCATTTCATAGCATCAATGTGCAGCTAACAATAGAATATTGAGGGCTGAATCAAGGTTTAACAAATTAAAAGCAACTCATCACTGGTCCCTACTAACTAGATAATGTGACTCAACCCACCTCATCACATACATGGAAGCAAAATCACCAGGGCCTGTACCCAATACCAGAATATTTCGAGGCACCCTACTCTTTATGAAGATGATCAAGAGGAACCCAAAGCTAACCCAGTGGACTAGAGATTGCAAGTTGTTACAAGACCTGATCTGCCAAAATCACTTCTAATTAAAAGACTAATGCACAAAGTATTGTTTCCTGTCATTGAAAGACATTTGTATTTATTGCTTTACCATTCAGCAATAAATGACAGAATAATCATTAGGCAAATACGGCCTTTTCTTTTACGTTCACCTTTTTTCCTCCATTTGGAGTTGCAGAAGGTCCATCTCCATGTAACTTTTCCAATTTGCATTTGGAGATGGACCTTTTATACAGATCCTTTGCAGGCAGCTAGGAAGACAGAATGATATGATTGATGTCTGTTATACATATGTGTTACAGGCCTCAAGCATGAGTAACCTGTGATCAGATATTGTGTCCTGTTTTGTACAGGAAAATCAGACACAGGACATGTTAATTGTATTCGCTCAGCAGGTTGTTCTCTGTTTTTATTAAACAGAATGCGTTTTTTCTTATTCTTCTTCTTCATTCAAACCACTTTGACAATAATATTCCTTGTAACAAATTACACATTTTCATCACATTACAGCATGGAGGTTAATATAACAAACCGCTGGAATAACATATTTTACAAATGATATAAAAGTACAAATTTGTTGTTTGCTTCAACAGAAATACTTCCCCTATACCAGTCTTAACTGGTGCTATGACTTACTGCTATTACCAGTTCCAAAATCATACACATCCAGTAGCTTTAATACTGTTAAGCCTACTTGTTTCACACTTTTTTCAAGTACAAAAGACAAAAACACTACAGAGGCCTACATTATACAAAATACCTGTTTCTTTAACCTTACCAACACAGTACAACTATATATACACAACTGTTGAAATAACCGTACTTTATCAACTTTAGCTTTAACAAATACAGAGAAAGGTGCACATGTCCAGGAGAAATGACCATATACAAAATGAATGTGAATGTCAGAAGGCCGCCATGTTGCTTACTCTTTTTACACGGGAGCTAGCTACACTTCAATTCAAGGTCTCTCAACTGAATAAACCAATAAAATATGTTTTACACATAAAATGTCAGAACAACATAATTAAGGCTTTAAAAGTCCTTAGAAATGTATTGCAGCAAAATATCACACACTACTAGCCTGTTTTGTACAGGAAAATCCGACACAGGAGATGTTAATTGTGATCGCTCAGCAGGCTGTTCGCGCAGCCCTACTAGTGCTCACATAAATGAACACTCCCCCTTGAGGCAAACTCCCCCTTTGCACCCTCAAAGATACTACTCAAATACAATTGCAAAAATAGATTCGAATTGTTCCTTTTATAGAGGCCAATACACAAAGCAACTTAACAATGGTGACAATACATTTGTCGGCATCACAAATGCAGACCAAATATTTTTCATCAGGATGACTGCAAACAATTTTTTATACTGCCAAGATTCTGTGTGGAGGAACAACCCCAATTCCAAAAAAGCTGTGATGCTGTGTCAAGTGTAAATAAAAAACAGAATGCAATGATTTGCAAAATCCCAAACCCATGTTATTCACAATAGAATATAGAAAACCTATTAAATGTTTAAACTGAGTAAATATACCATTTTAAGACAAAAAAAAAGGTAATTTTGAATTCGATGGCCGCAACACGTCTCAGAAAAGTTGGGATGGGCCAAGGAAAATCCATCCATACATTTTCTACCGATTAATCCTTTTCAGGGTCGCGGGGAACCTGGAGCCTATCCCAGGCATAGGGCACAAGGAGGGGTACACCCTGGACAGGGTGCCAGTTTGTGCCATCATAGGGCACAATCACATACACACTCATTCATACGTTCATACAATACCAATCAGCCTACCATGCCTGTCTTAGAGAACATGCAAACTCCAAACACACACGGCCTCGGCGGGCCTTGAACCCCGGACCCTGGAAGTGTGAGGCAAACGTGCTAACCACTATGCCACCGTGGCAAGGAAAATCAGTGTTATTATTATTGGGTATTTTAGAGAGGCAGAGTCTTTCAGAAGTAAAGATGGGCAGAGGTTCACCAATCTGCAAAAAACTACATCTACAATTTGTGGAACAATTTCAGAATAATGTTCCTCAATATAAAATTGTGAAGACTATCTTCGTATATCTCCTCAACAGAAGAATATCTCCTCATCTACAGTACATATCATAATCAAAAGATTCCGAGAATCTGGAGTAATCTCTGTGGGCAAGGGACAAATCAATATTGATCCTGTAATGGAAATCACTTCGTGGGCTCAGAAACACCACCAGAACTCACTGTCTGTGAACACAGTTCACCGTACCGTCCACAAATGCTGGTTAAAGCTCTATCATGCAATGAAGAAGCCATATGTGAACATGATACAGAAATGCCGCTGTCTTCTCTGGGCCAAAGCTCATTTAAAATGGACTCGGACAATGTGGAAAACTCTTCCGTGGTCAGACGAATTGAAATTTGACATTCTCTTTGGAAACCATGGAAACAAAAGAGAAGAGGGCCATCTGGCATTTTATCAGTGCTAAGTTCAAAAGCCTGCATCTCTGATGGTATGGGGGTGCAGTGGTGCCTATGGAATGGGCAGCTTTCACATCTGGAAAGGTACCATCAATGCTGAAAGGTATATAGACAGGTTTTAGAGCAACCATCATGTGCTTCCATCCAGATTCCATCCCATCTTTACTTCTGAGAGACTCCGCCTCTAAAATACTCTTTTTATGCCCAATAATGTTACTGACCTGTTGCCAATTAATCTAGTCGCAAAATATTCTTTTTAGTTCTTTTTATTAAACATTTACTTTTCCAGCCTTTGTTTGCCCCGCCCCAAAGTCAAAATTACTTTATTTCTTCCTTAACATGGTACATTTCCTCGGTTTATGTTCTATTGTTTATAACATATGGGTTTATGAGATTTTCAAGTCATCGCATTCTGTTTTTATTTCACACAGCATCCAAACTTTTTTGGAATTGGTGTTGTACATGGACCCTCCACTCCACAGGAATCCTCATCCATAACCTTTAAGGGGACAATGGCAAAGTTTTAATAAAGCAGACATTATTAAAAGAAAAAAGGGAATGCATTATATGTTCAACCTCTGTGGGCCTCCCAGCATCTTCATCTTAATTTGCTTAATTTGCATCTTAATTTGCTACATAAACATTTTACCAAACCACTAATATCATGGGAGATAGCAGACTCTGATGAACTGCCCCCTTGAATAAGGGACAGTGCCAGCTCCTCAGCCAGATTGAGTGAAGGTGCTGGTGGTTCCTTAGCCATTTTACAGGACTCTGCCTTCTTCAAGCATTTACTTGATCCGTTACTTTTTTCCAAGCCAACTCTCTGTCTGATGCAGCAGTGTTACTTTTTTGTTGTTGTTGTTGCTACAAGTGACTTAGTTTCCTCATAAGCATGCATTAATACCTCTAATTCTGCTTTGATGAAGTATGTGGATCACCTTTTCTCACCTTGGCATGTTTACAGGTGCATCTCAAAAACTTTTGAATATCTTGGAAAAGTTCTCTTTTTTCCCATAATTTCATTCAAATAGTGAAGCTTTCATATAGTCTAGATTCATTACACATAAAGTGAAATATTTCAAGCTTTTTTGTTTTAATCTCAATGATTACGGCTTACAGCTCACGGAAATCAAAAATCCAGTATCTCAAAATATTAGAATAATAATGATTTGATAATACAGAAATTTTAATTTATGCGCTGATACTCGGTCAGGGCTTGAAGCATGGAGGCAATCAGCCTGTGGCACTGCTGAGCTCTTCTAGAAGCCCAGGTTGCTTTTATAGCGGCCTTCAGCTCGTCTGTATTGTTGGGTCTGGCGAGTCGGCTGGACAATCAAGCACAGTAATACCATGATCAGCAAACCAGTTACTAGAAGTTTTGGCACTGTGGGCAGGTGCCAAGTCCTGCTGGAAAAGGAAATCAGCATCTCCATAAAGCTCGTCAGTAGATGGAAACATGAAGTGCTCTAAAATCTCCTGGTAGACGCTGCATTGACTTTCGACTTGAGAAAACACATTGGACCAACACTAGCAGATGACATGGCCCCCATATGATCACTGACTGTGGAAACTTGAAACACTGAACTTCAAGCAACTTGGATTCTGTGCCTCTCCACTCTTCCTCCAGACTCTGGGACCTTGATTTCCAAACAAAATGCAACATTAACTTTTATCTTCCCCGTGATTGTGTTTGTGTGTATTGAACCAGACTGAGAGATTCAAGGCTCAGGAAACCTTTGCAGGTATTTTCAGTTAATGAGCTGATTAGAGTCTTCACAGGTCGCCATTTCTGTATTATACAATCTTTATTCTAATATTTTGAGACACTGAATGATTTCCATGAGCTGTAAGCCCATCAAGATGAAAACAGAATATATTAAAGTTCGACTTTTTGAATTAAATTACAGAAAAAATAAACTTTTCCAAAATATTCGAATATTTTGAGATGCACTTGTATATCCTCATGTGTTAACTCTGAATTACCAATAAGAGGGGGATTTAACTTACTCCTCACAAAAGTTCTGGAAAACTCAGAGGAAGCATTGTTTGAATTAATCAACCTAGAGTTCAGGGTTTACGTAATGCCAAGTTAACCTAGCTTTCAGGAATACCCCCTTGGTATCTGTTACTTTCTAACCCATGAGCCTACAGCAATAGTCCCACTTTAATTAAGCTGCAGGTATGTTTGTTTTGTAGCTCACAATAAATATCCTGTGGCAACACAAGACGTTTCAGTTTCTTATTTTTATTTTTTACCTCCCGTCCTCAATTAAGGACTAAAGTTACATTCCAGGTTTATGTTTGGCAAATTGCTTAGTTAGGTCATGTGACCTAGACAATTAAGAGAATTAAGCACTTGGTCCAATCACATGCAAGGTGCAGTAAAATTCTAATTGGTGTCATCTGTTAGGCAGTCCAATTAGTTTTGCAACAGGCTCAGAAGAACGTCAGGATGTAATGAAATGCTTGAATACCTGCCTGCGTAAATAGGAGGTGCTCTGCGAATAGAGGCATACATGCAGTTGTCTGTTAACAGCAATGGGTTTTAACCAAGTGGGGTTTGTTGTGCTGTTGATTTTGGCAGTTGGATTGTCAGCAGCACAATGGCCAGGATTGATGAATGTTTCTGCTGGACTTCAAGCTAACAAACCAGGTCATCCTTCACTGCGAGAGAATGCTGGGTTGCCTTCTCAGTGGATGCAAAGTGGCCTCCAGAGTGGAAGCCCTGCAGTAGCCCCACTTGGGTTGCACCTTCAAAATCCTTCAGATGCTCAAGACCAGCAAGTAATGCAGAGGCCAGTGAAGAAACTGACTTGGCGTTTTCCAGCAGCATTACAAATCCCAACCCCACCAGCACCAGTGAACTTTGTAAGACAGTCTGATGTTGCTCCTACCCAGAGTGTAACAGCAAGGTGCAATGAGACCGCAGTGTATGTAGAGGTGAAAAAAGACCTGTTTGGTACTAGTGCACACCTCAATATTGCTGCTCTCACACTGGGAGGCTGTGCTTCCAAAGGGGTGGATGTTTCTGCTCAAGTCCTTGTCTATGAATCACCATTGCACGGCTGCAACAGCAAGTTGACCGTAAGTCTTTGACTGCTAAATACCGTTTTGTCTTAAGCTCACCATCAGACATTATTTTACACTTTCACTTCATTCAGGTAACTGCAACTGAGCTGGTCTATATCTTCACCCTTGGTATTGCTTCAGCACCCATAACTAGTGTTCCCATTTTAAGAAGTCCTGGTGCTATGGCTTTCATTGAGTGTCACTATCTGAGGTATTGCTCCATTCCAAGAAATCTTTGGGTTTACTTAGAAAGCTGTGCTCATCTGAGATGGTCCTCTCTTGAATGCTTCCCAGATTCCACAATGTGAGTAGCAGTGCTCTCCTGCCTGCTTGGAATCCATATGCTTCTGCTCAAGCTGCTGAGGAACATCTCATTTTCTCCTTGAGGCTCATGATGGGTTTGTATCATTGGGTTGACTTGTAGCTTGCTTGTTTGAGGATGAGATACTAATGAAGCTTTGTCTTGTAGATGACTGGATATCTGAAAGACCTTCTAATTACAACTACCAGCTGGGTGAGCTTATAAACATTGAGGCATCTGTAGTGCAGTTCAACCATGTGCCCCTGCGTGTCCTTGTAGACAGCTGTGTGGCCACTGCTCTCCCTGATGTAAATGCAGACCCCAGATATTCCTTCATTGAGAACCATGGGTGAGTGAGCTTCATTTGAGCCTTTGTAAGCTGTCCTGAACATTCCTAACTGTGTGTAAATCCTTCCAGGTGCTTGATTGATGCCAAGGTAACGCAGTCCAGTTCCCGCTTCATGCCCCAGACTCAAGCAGCTAAGCTGGGGTTTCAGCTGGAGGCATTCAAGTTTCAGCACATGAACAGTAGCTGGGTAGGTGGTGACTGTTTGGTCAGGGGTGATGGGCTTGTTTAGCTGTCAGAATGTAACTTGTTCTCCCTTCTGTTGCCAGTTCTATATTACATGCATCTTGAAGGCAACAGCAGCATCTGCCCCTGCTGATGCTGAGCACAAGGCTTGTTCCTTCTCAGGCAATAGGTATGCTGCTTGGCTGTGTTGGTACAGTGCAGATGAGCTGTGACTACTAACACACTACTGTTTCTTCCTAGATGGACTGCTGCATATGGTGTTGACCTGGTATGCAGCTGTTGCAGCAGCAGCTGTGGCTCGAGGAAGGGACGTGATCTCTCTTCAGAGCAAGGTATTTGGGAGAACCATGTTGGTGTTCATGTAATTTCTCTGCACTCTATGACCTGTGGCTTTGTAACCTGTTCATGCACTTTACCTTCATTTGCAGGTTTGCAGCTGGAGAGAGAAGTGAGCATTGGCCCAATCTTGATTCTGGAGAATGTCTGGTAGTCTAATGACTAAATAAAATTTTATAACATGCATGTCTTGTGATTCCTT